ATTATATAGTTGAATATATATACTATATATAGTAAAAATTTGAGCCAATTTGGATCAGTAGTTATCAAGAAAATACACGTCAAAGTTTAAAAAAATTTAACGAATTTTTGTTATATATCGTTAGTAATCACTAACGATGATACTCCGCAGGGGTGCTATATATCGATAATAATCTAAGGATTACTAACGATATATAGCACCTTTAAAAACTTTCCCGATGTTAAAAAAATTGATAAGTCTGATTAAGTTTTTGTTGAGTTATTGTTGTTTAAAGTTTCAAAAAATTTTCAATAAAAACGATTTGCTTGATTTTTATTGACTCACCCCCAATTGGTAACCCAATACTGATTAATTTGTCTATTTACCTGATATTTAACATTTTTCATTTTTTTTCGCAGGATTTTTTATTGGTTTGATTAAATGATCGTCAAAGGCAATAGCAAAATAATTTTTCAGATAGCCTGATAATTTATTATATGATGCCTTGTAAACTTCTGTTCAGATTTTACTTATTGGAGTCAGTTTGGTTTAAACCGGCTCACTTGAGCCGGCTTAATCTAGCTGGCTTGAGTCAGCTAGCTTGGCTTTTTTGGCTGAGCCAGCCGGCTTAAGCCGATTCCATTTCCAGAGATAAATGAGTCTTTTCAAAAACAAGCGATTGTTTTGTTGAATTTTATGTTACGCCTGATCTTGTTCTCTGATTCGCTGTAGATGCATCACGTTATTAAAGATATCCAATTCTGCGATTTCACACCAATAGTAACTTGGGGGACCCAATGTCAGATAAAATAAGTGTCACATATTTATGTAGATATTTATCAAAAAAAAGTCAATCTTATTAACATGTGTGTCTATTTAATCCGAGTCAGAACTTTAAAATAGAACTCTGCAACCCTCTGGTATGTAATATTTTTTTATTAAAAGTACAATTATATTGGTCAAAATAACATACCTATTATATACGTATGTATCGAAAACATAATATAAATCTAGGATACACTAATTGTTTCAAGAAAGTGCCAGAATATCCAAAATACAACATTTTCTGAAATTTGGATCTGGCCTCTCATAATATTTGACCACATAAGTAGACAAATGACAAAGTTAATTATTCGAAAACATAAGTCACCCGTGTCTTCGGACAATAAACCCGAAAAACAGAGATTATTATGTGGTCAGAATGACTAATCATCACAAAAGACCTGCAGGTGAATAGGAAAAAACAGTCATTTGGCAGATTAAATATAATATAGCATATACCATTTAGGTATATGCTTTATTACGTTTGATTAATCGAGCATTATTTTCCATGAAGACCGTTCTATTGGCACCAATTTTTTATGGTCTTCATATATGATGTCTGCTATTCCTCTGTTAATGTCATATAGAACATGTACAGGAGTTACGTCTGAAAACTTTGATCCAAAATAATCAGACAACTTATCACTTGTGCAGAGATTAATCATATACATATGGCATTTATGTAGATCGCGATAGCAGCAAGCACGATCTACATGCTCATCAAATTTCTTTTTGCCTGCTTCCTTTGTCAATTCAAATCCATAAGATGGCTGGTTGTGACCTCTCATAAAAATGTCCAAGCGTTTCAATCGATTCTCACTTGCATCCTTATCTTTTGCTTCTACAATAACCCTATATTGCAAGTCTGGATATACTGTAGACAGCAAATATTTTAAGATACTAGTAAATTCAGCCTGAAACGCATATTCGGATGGATTGTTGTCAATATTAAGGGCCTGTTGAATAAACACATGTTGTACAGCGATGTGCTGTATAGGTCAAATACATAGATTGCTTAGTGAACTTCTTTTTATTGCATAGATAACTTAATCTAAAATTCTAGTATTACTGTATTTAAAATAACTTTGTTTATGTATTTACCTGTACAACATTTTCTATTAACCATCTAGTATCAACCTTTCTCGTACATAATGGTGGGCTTATGAATTCTATTTCTGGTCCACTTATCATTGAAAGCATTGCACTGCGGAGAATCGGTGAAGAACATTCTAATTCTAAAACTTCATTTTTTACTGTAGAAACAATCAGTCCTTCAGCAAGAAGAGGATCTAACGTATCATCTTGATCGTCTTTATGCTTTTACCAAAAAAAAAAATACTAAATTAATAACTGATAAATGAATAGAAATAGCATACTTGAATTATTATTGCGCTTTTCAAATTACTGTGGTCAGCAAATTTCATGTATCACACTAGGAATCAGAAATCCAAAATAAATGCAATTCTGTGATTGGTTGGAAATAATTTTTAACCAATCATGTATTTAGATTTCTGATTCCCAGTGTGATACGTGAAATTTGCTAATCACAATAATTTGAAAAGCTCAATAAATAAATGGCTTGCTTACCATGTAGGTATATGAACCATAACGGAGGACATTCCCAATAATATTTATTTGGTTTTGTGAGAAGTTCTTTACGATCCTGATAATGGACTTGAATGCACTTCTTTCCTTAACGAATTTAATAAGTCTTGCTGATGAAAATTCTAGCCAATTATCCAATGATAATTCACTCTCATCTGTCATGACTTCTGTTTCAATTGCTTTAAAACAGGTACCCACAAGGCCTTTATATCCATTAGTGCGCTTAAATATATCTTTGGCGATTTTTTTTGTATCAATGCTAAGATCATAGAAGTTGTTGTAATCATTAAGAAGTATTTCTACTTCTTTTTCATTAAAAAAGTGCGGTAAAAAAATATTGTGAGTTATGACGTTTGTTCTAGTTAATATGTTTTTGGTAGTTTTAATTCCTACCAATACAAACGAGTGTACACAATATTTTTTTTTATTTTTAAGGATCGCTAAAGCATCGATAAATTCTTCTACAATTTGGGGCTCTTTGTGGGTGAGGGTAGAAAATTCATCGATGATAAATGATATGGCTGGGTAATCTTCCTGTTTTTCAAAAAATTTTAGAAAATCTTCCTTTCTAACTTCTTTCGAATTGTCAAAGAAAAATCGTCTTCTATTTTTTGTTTGCATTAACTTGCAAACAGATCTCCAGAAGTCTGATTTACTATTTTTAAATTTTAACCCGATACCAAAGGAGAGGACATAAATTTCAAAGTCAGCTTGTGCTTCGTTAATTTTTATTTTCTGTAGAAGGTTTGCTGTGGTTGTGATCAATGTGGTTTTGCCACTTTGTCGAAGCCCTTCTACAAAAATATAATGTCCATTTATAATCTTTTGACAAAGATTATTAATCAACTCCTTAGGTGCGATATAAAAATTAATATCTTTATAGACTTCGACTTCTGAGAAATGTTCTAAAAAAATGAAATAAAAATATATAAATAATGAAAAATAAAAATCGTTATAGTAAAACCTTCATAAGTGCATCCTCTATAAGTGCACACACTCTCTAAATGCATGCTTAAATTCAGGTCCGAATATATATATGACTCCATAAATGCACTTTTTCTTATTGTTCTTTAAGTGCACGTCATTAAAGCTCGGTCCATAGAGCATGCACTTATAGAGGTTTACTGTATTAGATCACTAATATGAAATTTTTTTTTTTCGAGATTAAACTTTAAGCATGATGGAAATTTCGATTAGCTAATCAACAAAAATAAAATTAAAAGGATTAACTTTCGTTATTCCAAAGATTTGCGTTTCTGACAAAAAGTTTAATCATCGTAAACCCACGAAATAATGCACTGAGATAAAATTACGAATTTTGGCCTAAATTAAGCTTAATTCGGGCCGAGCCTCGAAATAATGCCCATGATCATTATTTCGTGGGTTTACAGTATAAAAATTTTGATATTTATCCAATCAAAACAAAATTGTATACAACATACTAAATATATTAGAAATTGTGTATTCTTCTTTGATTTCTATTTTTCTTTTTTTAGTAGAAGTCAAAACAGAGCCTATTTCAATAGGTATGTTTTCTTTTTCATCAATTTTCTATAAAATATTTTAAGATTATAAGTGTCTAATATATTTATAATCATTGTCAATATCTTTAGAGCATTCAAAGTCACAAACCTTTATTTTTCGTTTTAACGATAAGACTTTATTATGCCTTTTCGTTTTTGGTTTTAAATTGGTCTTCAAGATTTCCAACTCAATGTTTAACGTATCAATGCATATTTTTCTTGAGGTCTCAGGTTCTTTATCAGTTAAAAATTTAATGTAGGAGTTTACGTCCCACTTATTATATGGCATTTCCCAATATTCATTATTCCTGAGACCTTGAAGCAAAGAAAGACTTGAATTCGATTTTTGCATGGTGTGTAAATAATAGTGTTAATATTAGTTAAGAGCAATTTTCTTTATAAAAAACGCGTAAAAATAGAAAGGAAAAAAATATTAGAAGCTCTGCACAAAAAATACGTGACAAATTCACAATTTTGATTGGCCAATGGTGAATACAAAAAATTTAGAACAAGATTACACAATTTTTACAAATAATCATTAACCCGCGGTTCGATAGCATAGTGGTTGCACTCCCAGATCATCAGTCGCAAGATCGCCGGTTCGAGTCTAACGAGGAGCGAAAAACCGTGATTGATGTTTAGCCACGTCATGTGATGTGATTTAAGTATACCGAAATAGGTTGCCGGTGAAATTCCGGTCGTGGAATATTCTACCCGGACGGGTCATAGGAATATATTCGTCTGATTGGCTGATGTAAATCAATTGCTCTGGTAACTTATTTCTATACCTAAGAACTTTTTGAAAACATGTTTCATCAATAAAAAAACCATCGAAATTACATTTTCGCTTCGATAGAACGTCTATATTTACTATGCAAAAATAAACAGTAATAATCAATATCCTCATGAACTTAATTAGAAGACAATATATGCCTACGGTTTATTGGACCAGACCAAATTATACTGTATAGTGAAGGCAACTGGAAACGGTTTCGTCTAAAACTATTTTATTATGTTAGATTTAAATAAACTTTTATTTCTAATTGTTAATTTGTGTAGGCAAGATCTTTGGCAGTAAAAAATCCGGGCTTAAGATTAAACTTGGTCGGTTATTATAGTGTGTTTGGGTTTGTCAGCTGTAAATTAATAGTAAAGGTTTTGGGTTATATTTTATCGATTATTTAATGTAATGAGTTGGGTTTATTAACAATAAATATCACATTTACCCACTTTACACGCATCTATCTATTCTCTAAATATAAATAATAAACTTTTTTTGCGTATATTTATTGTCTAATATTAATTAAAAATTATGTATTTTGATTGGTTAATTATCACGGGAAATCATGTGTAGATCTACAAAAATTAACCAATCATGCGAATGTCTTCCTATGATCCAAGGATTGGGTCAGTTCAGTCCTCTTTAGAATGGATCGAGACTAAGGACTTTTATACGATAGTAGTTTTAAGTTACACAATCATGGATAAAAATATTACAAATCAAGCATAAAGTATGCATTTAATTCAAACCGTATTTGGGAAAATGCTGAGAATATCTTGAAGAGTTAATCTATCATGAAAATTAAATAAGGTAGCTGCGCGACGCAGTTGCGCTAGAAACCAGGAACGAAAGCAGATATGGTAGTTAACAAATAGTCCAAGTAACGTACAAGCGAGAGCTGATTAGCACCTCATTAATATATGGGCTAGGTGCTGGAAAAAGGGCCGAAAATGACAAAAAAAAGATTTTCAGAAAATCAATTTTTATATTATAAATCTTATAATAAATCATAAGAAATTGCAAACTTTAAAGAGCTATACTGCAAAACTTTATTAATACAACTACTTTCATATCTTAAGTAAAAAATGATTCTAATTTAATTCTAAATTGATTTATGTAAAAAAAAACCTTTTTAAAAAAAATTGTCATTTTCGGCCCTTTTTCCAGCACCTAGCCCATATTGTAAAGCATTTGATATACACTACCGGGCTGTTGACTCGCATCAGACAATCAAATAGAAGTATACAAGGCATCATGTAATAAATTATACGGTTATCTGGTTACCCGAAAATTAATTTGCTATCGTTTTTGACGATCAGCGATTATCACTTAATCAACCCAATAAAAAATCTTACGAAAAAAAATAAAAAATGCCAAGTATCAGGTAAATACGCAAATTTTTGCATCAGGTTACCGATTTTTGTGTCTAAAATTCCTTCTTTAATATCGTTAGTTATCGCAACTACAACATCGGTTACGTTTTCATTTTTTATATTCAAATTATACTTTGTAATTACATGTGCATATCCTTCGATGTATACGCGTAATGAATTAACGTGTGAAAAATAACCAAAATTTGATGAATAAATCACTCAAACCAATCAAACTTAAGATTTCGCGGACAATCCCACTTCAAACAGCATATAATCTACACACTCACTCATTACATTTGTTCTGATACACCCATTACATTCGTTCCCGGTATCATTATATTCGTTCCTGGTATACACTCATTAAATTCGTTCCTTATAAAGATCTTTAAAATAAGACTTTACTAGGCCAATTGATTAGCAACCTATTGTATTAAAATGTAAAAACGTAAAAGAGCTTATATGCTTAAACAAATGGCTGTGAGAATGACGCTAGAAGGCTAGCTTTTATGACACTTATATGGACAGTTAAGCTATTAAAATAATGAATCAACAAAAGACAAGATTGTCATAAACTTCAAAATAATATTGTTAAGAAAATAAACTCAAGAGATGAATATAATATTTTTTATATATTTACTGGATATAATGATAAAAATTGCAAATTATAAATACAAGTATTTATTAACCAAGGTGGCTCATATTTAGAATACAAGAAAACAATATCACACAATAGTGAAATTCCCACTACACCTATAAGCTCGGAAATGCTAGACTCGAAAATATTATATAATTAATTCTATTATATCAAGAGTTCACTCTGACAAAGGCGAGCTGTATTTCTTTTCATAATTTAACTTACGAGTATATTTTTAGAACTTTACAACCTTTTGTGGCTTCGTTTTAATTATTTATTTATGCTAATTTGGTTCATCGAAGGGAGATTCGCTTATAAATCCAGTTACAGTGAAAGTTTACTATAACGGGTTTATGAACTTTGAAATTTTAAATTTAGATTATTGAGTTTCTGTTTACTGTTCATTTTAAAACTGATCAAGATTATTATTTATTAATCAAATTTATCTTTAGAATCAGGTCTACCGAATAATTGATTGCGAGGGCAATTAATCGCAACTATTCGAACCCGATTAATCGATTTGTGATGAAGTCAATTTTTGCAGTTGCTTGAAAAATGTATAAAATATGTAATAATAAACATAATTATGAGTATGTTTGAGGATATTTGACATCAAAACTTGTAGTTTTTGGTTTAAATTGTACAAACCACGAGAATATTAATTTACATTCCTTTACGGAGACATGTATATAGTACAGCATTCTAAATCTTTTTTTTTAAATCGGTTTCAATGAATGCCAAAGTTCGAAACAAATGTTACATAAATGCTTTTTTAGACCTTCAAATGACGACAGACATTAGTATAATTTATGTCCTCCAATCATAATCGATACTGTTCTTCCAGATCATAGCAAATGATGTTGGGCATTAATGCAATTTACGTTCTTCCAGATCACAGCCGATAATCAAAAAGTTGCTCTTTTTAGACCTCCAAATGATGATAATCATCAGCGTAATTTACATTCTTTCGACGATGCCTTTTTAGACCTTCAAATGATTGAAAATATCAGTGTAATTCATGTCCTTCCAGCCGTAGTCAATAGTGTTCTTCCAGACTATTTTATATATAATATATTATGAGTATAGTACTGTGGTATGCTAATTTTATATACTCAAATGCGACTTTTACAGTATACTCCACTACTTTACTAAACCATACGCCACTACTATTCGTAATATTGATCATGAAGTCGTGTAATATTTATAAATAATTTATAAATCGTATATCCCTTAATTCAACGATCACCTGATTATCTAAAAAACCAAATTTCTCTCGTTTTTGATGATCAGTGATTATCAATCCATCAACCCAATAAAAAATCCTACAAAAAAAACAAAAAATGCCAAATATCAGGTAAAATACGCAAGTTAATTTACACCGGGTTACCAATTTTTGCGTCTAAAATTCCTTTTTTACTATCGTTAATTATCGTAACTACGACATCGTTTATGTTTGCATTTTTTGTACTCAAATTATACTCTGTAATTACATACCCGATCTCGTGTGAAAAATAACAAATTTGATGAATAAGTCACGCGGACCAATCAAACTTAAGATTTTGCAGATCAATCCCTCTTAAAACACCGTATAATCCGCTTATTTTTGAAAAGACTTATTTATTTCCAAATTTCGTCAAAGAAATCGCCTTTTGCGTACTAACAAAAAAAATTAATTGCAATATTTTGCTATCCCTTAAGCTGTCAATTTAACTACGTATCTACTACGATTTAGACTACAATTCTACAGATCAATCATGAATTTTCCAGGCAAATTTGCCTGGAAAACAGTTTAAGGAATAATATTATCTATTAATTTTGACATTAATCTTAACTTTTTAAAGATAAAATGGCATGTAATTTGGTGCGAATAATTTCAGCCAATAGGAACTCGGGGAGAAAATTGGTAAACCCGGTCTTGGATTGTGATCAGATCAACAGCCCAGGAGGAACCGTCGATGTTACACGACTGATTTTTCACCCGGTGTGCAACATATAAAAAAATCATTTTACAATACCA